TAACGTCGCCTCCCCCCGACAATGCGTCTCAGTCGCCCGGGGACAGTTGGATCGCCAATACAAACGATTCCAACAACTTTACGTTGACGCTTCCGTTCCGGCCGGCGCCATCAGCGGCGACGCCGGCCATGTCGACAGCTCCAGCCAAGGGCAGCACCAAAACCAGCGTGCCTCCTTCCCCTGAGACCGCCAAGTCACCATCGGAGTTTCTCTTGGTGGACGACAATGCAATCAATCTCAAGGTTGGCTTGCGTCCCTCGCCCACCGGACAGCCCAGTCGGTGCAGAATACTGACGAGAAGCAGATTTTGTCGGCCTACATGAAGAGGCTTCAGAAACGGCACACGACCGCCTCAAACGGCCTCGAGGCTCTACAAGCGTACACAACACAACCGCAGCGGTTCTGCTGCATTCTCATAGGTATGCTCTCCATTTGGGACGTGTTGAAAGCCAGACAGTCTAACAGCGTGCAGATATAACGATGCCTGTCATGGACGGGCTCGAAGCCACAAGGCGGATCAGGAAGTTTGAGCGAGCGCAGAACCTGGCGCCGGCGACTGTGATTGCTATCACCAGCTTGGGATCGCAGAGCGCCCGGCAAGAGGGCTTCGCCAGCGGAATGGACCTCTTCTTGACGCGACCGGTGACCATGAAGGAGCTGGTCAAGATTTTGAAGCTACGGAAACTAGTGGACGAGATAACGGAGAAGGAAGTCTTGTCTCAATGACCCGAGTGTTTTTTTTTTTCCTTCTCTCTTTTTCTTACGGTGAGCACATCTGTGGCAAGGGCCCGTTTTGGCTGTGTTGCTCTGTTTCTTCTTCCTCTTGCTGTACAGCGTGGACCACGAGTGTTTTGTTTTTGTTTTGGTTGCAATTTCCGCAAGGCGTTACGGTGGAGGGATACGACTGAATTGGTCTTGGCAAGAGACCTAGAATCGGCTCCGAAGAAAAGGCAGTATTTTGTTTTTGTTAAGCCATGTCTTGAGGTCCGGCATTGGCTGAGTTCGAGGGGGAGGGGAGAGGGCATTTTGGACGGAAAGACACGGGCGTAGGGAAGAGAGGATTTGCAGACCGACGCAACGGCCGGCGCTACGGCGGGGAAAAGTTGTATCCATCCAGTTACGTAGTCGCAGGTGGAAAGAGAGGGACAAGGGAACAAGAAAATCATGACACGATATTGTCTACAATTCTATAAGTTGATGGCGGCTCTGTGACCTGGGTTGTTGTGTCCTGCGCTGCTTTTCGGGGACTGATTGGGGTATGAGATGAGGCGAGAGAGTGAGATGAGGTGGCAGAGTAAGTAAGAGAGAGAGAGAGAGAGTGTGTGTGTGTGTGAGCGAGTGGGTGAGTGAGAGAGAGACAGGGGTGAGTGAGTGGGTGGGTGAGTGGGTGGGTGGATGAGCAACAATAGACAACTTCATCAGCCTAGTTCAACAAAGACACAACGCAACAGGTGTCGGTGGTGCGTGGAGGGCATATGATCATAGACGGAGCAGAGTCATCAAAGGTTTCCCTCTACACTACCACTACATAGAGTAGTTGGATAAGTCATGGTAACGGTTGGAGGCTGAGGAATTGGCCGAGAACAGAGTCAAGCTGGTACTGATCGGGCCGAAGGATTATCTTCTGGTGGGATTGAAACGGTCTTCATGTCATTCATTCGTAAGGGGACCAACTGATAAGGGGGCAAATGATGATAAGAGCCCCCCTCCCCCCCCTCTCCCCTTTGTTTCTCTCCTCTCTCTGGGTCCCGTCGTTATCTTTGGGTGGTCAGGGGTACATGAGAGAGGAAGAGAGAGAGGGAGATATGACGAGTACTCGCGAAGGGTTATTGGTTCATGTTACATATGCGCACAACACAGACATGCACACACCTTCAGCCCAAGCCATGATAGCCTCTTTTTTTTTTTTTTTTGCTCCCTCTTTTTTTTCTTCGTCCGCCTTTTGTTTGTTGAAGATGGACAAGTAGATGTAGCGGTCGGAAGGCCTTCATGTCTCGCCGATGACGGCTGTCCCTCCCCCCCCTTGTTCTGAACTCGGCCTCCCCCGGTTTCGTTATCACCCGAAGCCCACACTGATTCGGTGGGCCGTGGAACCGTTCATGGACATTTGGGCCTTTCCCCGCTGGATGATATGGGGGTTCAACGCTTTTGCGGGGTTTTTGTTGGACGCCATCCACGTTAGCCCGCTCTGTTCAAGACAGGCTGGAGGGCGTTGGAGAGGGCATGGAAAGGCCGTCAGTCTGCATTTGGGAAGAGCATCGGGAACGAGGGCTACTGTTCGCCGTGTGTCTGTTCCAGTCGATGTGTATGCAGCAGTGCATGCAGTGCGAGACGGGGGGGTTCGGTTGAACCGTGTCCTCGGGCTGGCCGAGGCGCTTGAAGAAGCCCAGAGGGAGCGAACCGGGGCCCGATTCGACGGCGCTGATAAGATGCCGTCGCCGTGGGACCATATTCCGCATGGGCGAGGACCAGCGGGTAAGGGTCGTGATCGGACGGGATGGTGATGGCATGCCCCCTTCTCACGAGTCCAGGCATGGAACAGAGATGATGAGAAACGTATTATCAAGACGATCCATTCAAAGATGGAACAGGTACACAATGATACTCCAACTCCAACATGGGCTGTCCGGTATGGCAATCGCACGCGTGCGAGCAACACCACGTTATCAACACCCACGCAGGCCATGCGCCGTGCCAAGCTGCCGCGTCCAATGCGACCACCGTTCGACCTGCCGCGCCGCACGTTCCATTGCAGCAGGTTCATGTTGAGAGTTGGGGTAATCGGGGGGGGGGGAGGCCTGCTGGGCTGGGAAACAAGCCTTTTTCTGACGGGGGCCAGAGGAGGAGAAAGAGGGAGGGGAGGACTGGATGAGTACCCGGTAGGGAGGGCAAAGACACGATTAACCGCGCTCTAGGCTGCGTTTTCCCCTGTGTTGCATCCCCGGAGAGCGTCAGACGGCAGACACTAGAAGGTTTCAAGAACAACGGCGGACCGCGTTTATCAGTCCACACACCACCAGCTTACGCTGACTATAACTGACTGCCGAGTGCGGGATGCCGGCTTCCACTGGCCCGACTGACCGAAGCGGCTTTACATGTATGTACGTATGTATGTATGTATGTCGCCAGTCTTCCAGCGGTGATGGATCATATCCGTCTGTCGCTACGGGAAAGGAGTGCGCGCGCTCGCCAGCTTCTTCCTCGCGGTAAACATGATTCAAGATCCCAGCTCCCCCGGGGGGGGGGGGCTTGGGCGTTCGTGGGCTGTCCAAGACGCATGAACCAACGGAGAGTAATCTTCTTTTTGGGCGTGCGTCGGGTGCTGTGTTGGTGCGCCGCCGTATTGATACTGGACGGAACGGGCCCTGCCATCGCATTCTTTCGCGAATCCAGACCGAAAAGGCCCGGTTGCCTAGAGATAGATAATCGCGGTCCCGTAAAGGGGGGGAGGGAGGGTTGCGATGTGTAGGTGGCTGACGTTGGTCTCGTCTCCCACGCTGGCCGGGCTCCAATCTGCCTTATCCAAGACGACTCTTCCTATCCTGGAACCTCCCCCCCCCCCCCGTCCTCCACAAGTCCACAACGTTCCCACTTGTTTTCCGTACCTGAGAGTGGCTCCGTAGATAAAGGGCCATCATCGTCAGACGCGCTGATAATGGCCAATGGCCCCCCCGTTGGGTTGAAGGGGCATTCGGTGAACGGATAGGCGGAACTGGAACGAGTTTTGGTTAGACACGGCCAAACGAGACCCTGATTGCATCTGTATACCTACATACTATGTATACATACTATGTAGGTTTACCAGATGGTGCAGTGGACGTGAACCCAAGCGCAGCCCCCCGGAGTGATGGGATCTGTGTCTGGGATGACGGACAACTGACCTGGAACCGTGACCGCTTTCTCTGCCGGTTTTGGAGGTCCCCGGCGCATCATCAACAAACCTCGGCCAGTTTCCACTTGCCCTCATCGCCTCCGTCGAGGGCCCTTCCGAAGCGTGGGGGGGGGACGAAAGGATGGATATGGACATCTGGCGCCCATCCGCCTCTATCTGTCTCCGTGTCTCTCTCTCTCTATCTCTCTGTTGGTCCTGGGTATTCTTGGTTCTGGTCTTCGGACTGTGTTATGTATCTCTTGGTCCTTGTCCCATAATTACGGGAGTAAATAAAAAGGCCCCACGTTTCTCCCTTGGTTCTTTGGTGTTCCGTGGTGTGTCCTCGCCATGCATCCCCCCTGGTCATCGACCCCCCCGGTAACCAAACCCCCGATGTCGTCCGCGTATGCATTGGCGTAGCCGCGCTTTCTGTGTCATTTGAATGTGTGTGCGAGTGTGACTCGATACCACTACCGGATAGACTAGCTTGAGCCTGGCCTGTCCCACCCCCTCCCCCCTGGGGAACGCTATCACCTTAGTCTGACAGCTCCTCTTCACACACCATCTAAAGCATCTGTACCCTAGTTGACGTGTGTGCTTTGCTCGATCGATTAGACTCGAGGGCTGAGCTACTAAAGAATCGCCTAATCCCCTCCCCCACGACCCGCCTCGCTACCGTACGCGTTTTCCAACTCGCGGTTCGCTTTTCTTTCCCCGAAAGGCCTGATCATCTTGTTCTTTTTATTTTGTTTTATTCATTTATTCAAGTGCGTCGTGCAGAAGAGTTGCTTTCCGGCTTTGATACTCCGTGTCTTCTGCCTGTCGCACACGAAGGAAAGCCCACGCCTCACCGCGCCCCCTCCGCCCACCCTCCGGCCGAGAATCGGACTGCATCGCGACGTCACCGAACAGGAATCCCGGGCTCTTATAGACCTTTCCCCCGACAGCGCCACGATTTAAGGCTTGTTCTTTAATCGCGCCACAAGATACCCCAAACCAGTGGTGGATCTCGAGTTCTGATCTGAGTTCGCCGCGCCTCGACCGTACTCATACAACTCTAGACGAACCAACACACGATCCCCTCCCCCCCCCCCCTCGGCCGTTCGAAACTCAACTTCCGCTCGCAACCATGGAAGCCGCTCCCCGAGTCTCCGCCGACCAGGCCCTCGCCCGGCTCGGCTACAAGGCCGAGCTCCCGCGCAACCTGTCCATGATGTCCATCCTCGGTCTCTCCTTCGCCATCATGGCCGTCCCCTTCGGCCTCAGCACAACCATGTACATCACCCTGACCAACGGCCAGGCCGTCACCGTCCTCTGGGGCTGGGTCCTCGTCTCCCTCATCTCCCTCTGCATCGCCGCCTCCCTCGCCGAGATCTGCGCCGTCTACCCCACCGCCGGCGGCGTCTACTACTGGTCCGCCATGCTCGCGCCCGCCGGCTGGGCGCCCCTCGTCAGCTTCGTCGACGGCTGGCTCACCCTCGTCGGCAACTGGACCGTCACCCTGAGCATCAACTTCAGCGGCGCCCAGCTGATCCTGAGCGCCATCTCCATCTTCAACGAGGACTTCGTCGCCAACGCCTGGCAGACCGTGCTGTGCTTCTGGGCCGTCATGCTGGTCTGCGCCAGTGTCAATGCCTTTGGCTCGCGGTACCTGGATCTCATCAACAAGGTGCGTCAGCTCGTGTGCGCGTGTGTCGTGTTTGGATATACGGCTGCTGACAAAGTGACTCTCAGGTCTGCATCTACTGGACCGGCGCCTCCGTCCTGATCATCATGATCACCATCCTCGCCATGGCGCCGACCAAGCGATCCGCCGAGTTCGTCTTCACCCACTACGACTCCTCGTCGAGCGGCTGGCCCTCTGGCTGGTCGTTCTTCATCGGTCTCCTTCAGGGTACGTATGGCATTCGTCCACATCCAAATCCTTTCCTCACCCCTCGACTACATTACTGACACTCTTCCTCCCCTCCAGCCGCCTACACCCTCACCGGTTACGGCATGGTCGCCTCCATGTGCGAGGAGGTCCAGAACCCCGAGCGCGAGGTGCCCCGCGCCATCGTCCTGTCCGTCGCCGCCGCCGGCGTCACCGGCATCATCTACCTCATCCCCATCCTCTTCGTCCTGCCCGACGTCCAGACGCTCCTCAGCGTCGCCAACTCGCAGCCCATCGGCCTGCTCTTCAAGACCGTCACCGGCTCCGCCGCCGGCGGCTTCGGCCTGCTCTTCCTCATCCTCGGCATCTTCATGTTCGCCGGCATCGGCGCCCTCACCGCCGCCTCGCGCTGCACCTACGCCTTCGCCCGCGACGGCGCCATCCCCGGCCACAACCTCTGGGCCCGCGTCAACGACAAGCTCGACATGCCCCTCTGGGCCCTCGGCCTGTCCACCGCCGTCGACTGCATCCTCGGCTGCATCTACTTCGGCTCCAGCGCCGCCTTCAACTCCTTCACCGGCGTCGCCACCATCTGCCTCTCCACGAGCTACGGCGTCCCCGTCCTGGTGAACCTGCTGCAGCGCCGCCGCGCCGTCGCCGCCTCCCCCTACCCGCTCGGCCGCTTCGGCACCGCCATCAACGTCATCTGCATCGTCTGGATCTGCTTCTCCGTCGTCATCTTCTGCATGCCCGTCAGCCTGCCCGTCAACGCCTCCAGCATGAACTACGCCTCCGTCGTCTTCGCCGGCTTCGCCGCCATCGCCGTCACCTGGTACCTCGCCTACGCCCGCAAGAACTTCCACGGGCCCCCCGTCGCCAAGGAGGAGTTCCAGCCCGGCCCGGACGGCGTCATGGAGGGCGAGGTCCCCGTGGCCGCGGATTCCGAGACGACGGCCAGTACGGAGAAGAAGTGAAGGGTGGGGGGCTTGATGGTCCTGGAAGGGATGGAGCCTCCCCCCGGGTTTTGATATATTGATACGAGAATTGTGATACCAACGAGAAATATAGTTAATTTGTGCTCAAACAAAACTTCTAGATGTGTGCATGTGTATGTATGTATGCCCCCCGTTATAGCCTAGTTTCTCGGTGGTATTTCGACTTGCAATATTTGCAGTACATGTTCCCACGATACCCCCCCTCTTTACCATCAATACTTTTGGCGTTTACCCACGAGCCCGTTTTCCTGGCTAGCCAAGGTGTCCCCGTCAACACCACGCTTTGCCCAAGCCTTCTTCTTCCATACTTCCGCTGATTGGGGCTGTAGGAATGCCGAATAGTCTGCCGGCGCCCTCGTCGGAGCTGTCGCTGAACTGAGCAACTGTCGTGCTGCCACTCTCAATGCTCAGTGCTGATTTCTCTGGAAGCTGCTGCAAGGCAGTGCTGTCTTCTTTGACTCGGTCCAGCGCGCTGTTTTCGCACGCCATTCTGCTTTCTATTTGAAAACTTGGCTGCGAATACATGACGGCATCCTTCTTCGTCCGGAGCACGGTCGGAAGGGTTAATTTGGCCATGACGCTCTCGACCCCGAAGATGACGGCGCCCCCGGCCGCCACCGGACGTGGGCGGTCGACGGCGCCGATGCTCATGGGTTTCGGCACGATCTGCTGCAAGCGACTCGTTCGAGGCGGGCTCCGGACATTTCTCGAACAGCTTCACGCTTTGATGCTTGTGCCAGCAGAGACCGCTCGACGTGAGGTACTCTTGGCTTATCTCATTGCCCTTGAAATAAAGACGGAGCAACGTGTCGGTCGTGGCCGCCAGATAGTCCTTCCCCCAGGGGACCGTCTTCCAACGACTGCACAGCATTTCGGAGTCGGCGGTGGGACATATGAGGTCGCCGAATCCGTTGGCAAAGAGGACCAGCGAAGCGCTGTCTTCCACGAGCCGCGCCCAGCCTCCACTAGTGGTCCGGATCTCGTTCTTTTTCATCCTTCGCCCCACGGTCCTGTTCACAGTCGACATGAACTCGTGGCCGATGAGCACATCCGGGACGTTGAACGCCTTCTCGGGCGCCTGCCTTCTGTCGTCGTCCATGGCCGCCAACGTTTCGAGCTGGTTGAAGATCCTGACGGCCATCAGGCGCAAGGTTTCGGGTTCGTCCTCGTCGTCTACGAGGACCAGCTTCCGGTTCACGAGGAGACTCTGCATGGCCGATCCTATGGTCGGGATCTTGACGGGCGCGCCGTTGCAGAAGAAAGGCCGGTCCGAGTTCCTTTTCCGGATGATGTGCAACATCACTTCATCCCGGGTCACGAGCCAGGCCCGCTGTTGGACGGTGTCGTAGAGGAACGCCTTCTCTCCCCTCGCGGTTGAGAGCATCTCCCCGTACGGCCCCTCGAACTTAACGAGGTACCCGGAGTCCTTACAGCCTGGCGCGCACTCGATGTTGAGCACGCCGATCTGCTGCAGGCCCGCCGCGATGTTTTGGATCCTCAAGGGCTCGTAGGGCTTCGCGGTCGACCACCTCAGGTTGTCGAAGTTGACATCCTCGTCTCCCAGCCTCGATTTCGCATGATCCCACCACCCGACAAGGGCGCGGCATCGCAGGAACGATTGCAAGTCGACCTCGTCGACCAGCGCCCGTTGCTTGCATTTTTCGACGCCTTCAAGGTACGTCAACCTTTTCCTCTTCTTCGAGGCAGACACGACGTGCCACTGTATGATGGACAAGTCAGCGTTGCGCTTGATCGGAACAAGCATCAAGGTCGGCCCTTTCATAACGATGCCGCCCTTATACTCGATCGCGTCGTGGATGACGGCAATTCTGACCAGGATGCCCATCGGTATTTCGAGGCCCTTTTCGTCATGCCGTGCCGGGACGGGGAAGTTCGCAGCAATAACAGCGCCGCCGCTGACAAGATCGAACCAGCAGCTGCGTTCCGCGTCAGGGATCTCTTGGGAACGGCACGTAACAGCGAAGTTTCGGTCGCCGTCTGAAGAACTATTGGCGGCGTTGGCACCGGACGTGGGCGATAGCGTAGCAAAACAAGACTTGAGGCGGCTCGCATTCTGCTCTTCGGGTATATTGTCTTCGTGAATGGGTGAGTATCCGAGGTGCGTTTTGGTGGTAGAGGACCTTAATGCAGAAGTGATCCATGTTATTTGCTGCGCAATCTACTCTAACGTCTTGGATGAAGTTAGAAACGGCAGTTGCAGTAGCAAACCTTGAGGCTGTCATTCCCGCTAGCCTCTCAATATCGGAGTTACTTGGCCACTCAGGCGGTACGAGGCTGGCATTGCTGTCGGCGAGAGAAGGGGACATAGTCCAGTTCCACATATCCTTGGCAATTCTCATCTTGTCTTGAAGCACGATGCCGACGTCATTTGTACTGCTTGTGTAAGACAGCATACGAGATTGGAACTCTTGTCTTCATCCCCTCGACGAGTTAATACGATTTTGGAGGGGAGTCTCCGGGCTGCTCGTGACGAAGACCTTGATGCCAGTTTCTTTGTATTTGAGGAGTGAGCGAAGGAGGGTGACAACACCTTCGATATCCTCATCAAGTGAGCACTCATCCAGAGCGTCCAATACCAGGAGCAGCTGGAGTCTTGCTGGAATGGGCGAGATACTCCATAAGAGGACTGACAATAAGCTTGCTGAACTGTTCTTCAATAGTTTCGGAGGATATGTCGTTTGTCCTTTCGATCGCACGCCGGATATATGGGAGTAGCTCGCGTCGACGCCTAGCAAGCTGTGATGCGATTGTACTAAAGAGATTCGACGTCCCGCAGCGACCAATATGTCCTCGCTTAAAGAAGAATGTGGCTCCTAGTATTTTCTTCTCGTCAAACCTCTTAGCAACTGTTCGTGCGATGGTTGACTTTCCGTGTCCCGCCATTCCGTAGAGCCAGAAGACGGGTGGACTTGTAGGGTTCTCTGCCCAGGCCTGAACTTCTTGCAGCAGATCGAGTCTGGCTCTCGGGTGGCAGATTTGATCGGGATGACTGTTGCGAGCATTGTACTCGGCACCGATCACGACATGTAGCCTTTTGATGATTTCCTTGTCGAAATAATGTCTGTCAGAAGACGCCTGTTTATCGATGGTTGTGGCCGAGAATGTTGACAACGATCGAGTAGCTGCAAGTGGTGATTTGGTTTGCTTGGCCATCGCAGCAAGCTCCTCCAACCTCTTTCCTTGCCCGAGATTTCTCTCTGGAATTTGATATGTGATCGCCTTCGCGCACGCGGCTGCATTCAGAGCAGCATACTCTTGCCAATCTTTGTTTTTATGGGAATCGGAATAATAGCAGATGCCCATGACCACCAAGCATGGGAAATGGCCCATCACCCCAGTAGCCTCCGTCTCGAAACAAAGCACATCTCGATCCGCCGCTAGCTTGTCTCGTATCGTCGCAGCTCTCATGACTCTATCTGCAGATGCAATCAATCCGTAGTGAACTCCTGGGTTAGATCGCTCCGGCCGCGAAATGACTGCATCCGGCCCTACATCTGTGGGAGGTTTTGTCGGATCGAAGACGATGTGGCTGCGGTACAGTATGTCTGTTTTGGGACTTGGGCGGCGCCATTTGCCTCTCCGCCTTGGGAGTCTGGTTAAAACAGTGACCACAGATTGTTCTATCCCGTTACCCATCGTTATGAGCTGAGCTCTGGTGCTAATGAGAGCAAGCATGAGTTCACTGGCGGGCGGAGCAAGGAACCCTGTCACCTTGAAAGCTCCATCGTCCATCATCCGATCAAAGTAGCAATGAAGGAGGCCTCCATGATTGCCGCGAGGAGTACTGACCACGACATCTCCAAGTCGAATATCGTGCTTAGCACGTGGCGCACCGCCCCCGATTCTCACCATCAAGCAGGCTCTGATGTTCGGAAATTTCTGTTGCAGATCTCGAGCAACTGCTACCGTAGACTCGTTGCCGTACGTACCGCCTTAAACAGCAGCAAAAACGAAATTATGTGCCCCTATTCGACCAAGGGTGTAGATACTGTTATCTCGGGGTAAGATACTGATGGGCGACGGATGTGCCTCGTCGAGAAAGCACTGGGCCGCGATGTATTCTGTGCCACTGGTACATATCCAGCCGGCGGCGTATGCTGAAGGATCAGGCATCTTTGCCGTTACTCATCCGAAGGGAAACTCAAAGTGATCCAAGGTTCAAGGGGGTTGATTGGGATGGGCGTTGAGACCAAGCGAGACACGGTTTCCATGCTGTACCTGGAAAAGAGAGAAACTCAAGAAGTAGCCAAAGAATCGAGGGGTAAGGGAGGGCTTCATACAGCTGCTGGCGCGATCCGCTCAGCCTGCAGCTTGGCGCGCGATTGGCACGCGGTACAGCCTCAGACAATTTTTGTCATCTTATGTCTGCTGCAACTTTGATTGGCCTAACAAGTGTATGTCTTCCCTCGATGATCGATGTCCCAAACGCCGAATCGGGCTGCATGGTTAAGGCAAAGAGGCTTGATAATTATGCTAAACAACTTCCAGTAGGCCGTTAGATCCACCCCAGAAGTATACCCAGAGACAAGCTGCCAAAGGCCTCCATAGGAAAGACCTCATAGAGAGCCCTTTTCCCATGGGGAAGCCTTGTTTTCTCTCGCCCAGGTCTTCTCATCTTCGCTCCCGAATGGCGGTGCGTAAAAGCCATATGTCTTCCATAGACGTTTATCCGTCTCGTTGACGTGGAACTCGGAGCGATAGCCTTTGTCTTCAAGATGCGGCTTGAGAACCGCATCTATGCCATCTGCCGTTTCTCTGTAAATTTTGTCGTCGTTGGGGAGATTGACGGCGATATGGTCGATTGAGATGCGTACGAACGGCTCTTTTGGTTTCTCTCCGCCTATCCACACGGTGCTCTCCGACATTTTGACGAAGTTGACGACGACATAAAAGGCAGGAAGGCCGACCTGTGTGTAGAATTTGGTGATGTCGGCAGCAAAGGCTCCTTTGCTGGCGTCGTCCTCGAACGTGCCGTCAGGGTGGTATATCAGCCAAAGGGGCATTTTCGATTGTTCTTTCTTGGGGATTTGGAACTAGGGAATTGCGTGATAGGATGACGGTGAGTATCAGCTAGGTAGGAGATTGGGTCAAGATACCGCTGCTGGTATTTTATATTAGATTATCACGGACATTAGCACAGCAATCACCGTGAGGTAGGAAGCAATGGGTATCGTGTACGTGGGGCTGGCAAATGCCGTTGACGGTAGAAGATGTAACTCTGAGCTCCGAGATCACTAATCATATCAGCAGCTATGTTGACTTTGTGAGAGCGAAAACGAGCCTCTGCCGAGTGATTACTATTCAACCGCGCTTCACCACATGCCGAGCTCGGCAATATGAATTCTGTTTTTAACCCCTTGTGCATTTCGAAACGACAATGGCGGCTGATCGGAGTAGGCTCCGTCTTACGAATAAACGAGGAAGCGCGTCCAAGTTTACTGATAGCCCCGAGATTTCCCAGACAACTGATATATCGCTCACGAATATTCGACCCAGCATCACATAGTACTGAACATAAAAAGCGCACATTTCCAATGCGCTGTAAACCATTTTGGATCCACTCCATTTTCTCCACTCAACATAATATACAACTAAGCATTTCATCATGTCCCAACCCCTCATCTTTATCACTGGCGCAACCGGCTTCATTGGTTCCCATGTCGTGTCCCAAGCACTGGAAGCAGACTACCGTGTCCGCTTGAGCGTGCGGAAGGAGTCGCAGGCCAGCAAGCTGAAGCAGCTCTTCGAAAAGCATGCAGCGAAGCTTGACTTCGTTGTCATCCCAGACTTGGCCAAGCCAGGGGCTTTCAATCAGACACTCCGGGACACCGACTACGTCTTCCATATTGCTTCACCAATGCCTGGCAGGGGCAACGACTTCAAGACAGACTACCTTGCTCCAGCAGAGCAGGGTACGATTGCCCTTCTGGATACTGCAAAGTCTATACCCACAATCAAGCGCATCGTCATAGTGTCCTCAATACTTGCCCTTGTTCCTTTAGACGTATGGGTCACAGGGAACTTCAATGTCAAAGGTAAGACACTCGTTTTTCGCTCTTATCCTTTCTGTGTATTTCCAAGAGCTCCCGGCTGAAGGCTAGTTACAGAAGGATCAAACGCATCCATCCCTGTCGACCGCGACATGGAGTTTCCCCAAGACCCCCAGGCGAGCGCGGGATTGAAATATCAAGCGTCCAAAATCCTCGCCCACCGCTCCGTTCTCGAGTGGGCGCCGAAAAACAAACCAGGCTTCACCATTGTAACCCTCCACCCGTCATTCGTCTTCGGTCGCAACCTCAACCAGACCTCTGAAGATGGAATTGACGGTTCGAACGCTATGCTCTGGAACTCATTGTTCTCAGAGAAGCCTGCCGTCCCTCTGGTGGCTGTCGATGTTCGGGACGTCGCTCTGGCCCATTTGAGAGCTCTCAATGTGGACTTTAAGGAACAGACCGCTGTGCAAGAGTTTGTGCTCAGCGCCCCCGAGCCTGTAAGGTGGGATTGGGAACATGTGGTCGAGTTTGGGAGGGAGAAATACCCGCAGCTCAACATAAAGTTGAAGGGTCCATTCGACAAACCAGCAAAGCCAGGGGCCAATCGTGCTACTGAATTGCTCGGTATCCAGTGGAGGAGCATGGAAGACACTGTTGCAAACTTTTTAGATCATCAACTGGAGTTGAAGGCGCAGTTGTAGGGTTTATATTGGAAAGAGATAACCAACTGAGACAACCAAGTGAGACACTCACCATGGAACACTGTTGGGCAGGCGTAAGTCAATATTGCTGGGCGCAAGTCAGCGTCGATGGAGCGAGCGTTTTATTCTTAAAACATTTCCATGCCTGGCGACTTTCTCCGAGATTTGAGCAGAAGGTATGCGGTATAATCGTGGGAAAGCCTTAGTAACACAATCCGGTATGCTTCGGACCAATGCTATTCGTCCTCACCACACGCACAAACTGGCCAGGAAGACGACGACTGCGCATCGGGGTTGGCACCGGGCCGGTCGCCCCACCTGCAGGTGATCTGCTACCTACCTTATCAAGACATGTGCTTCGCAGGATTGACTGACCATTCGTAATGGTCCTTATGAGTCAGAGTTGTCAACAGCTCTGAGCGACTGAGTGTTTATTATACCGAACCCCCATCCGACGGCCTACAAACGCCAGGAAGAGGATTCACAGAGTTGCGGCATCGAAATCATCATCAATCATGGATCCTCCTGTCGGCCCCGTGGTACCGGCCGGACCGGCAACGGCCCCGGCTCATACCCCGCTTCACGGGCGGTACACGTCGCTTGTTCCGCTCCAAGTATCGCACTCGGAAGCCATCTTCAAGCATCTCGGTCGCGGGGATAACGCCCATCGCTGGACGTACTTGTTTGACGGTCCCTTCCTCGAGTACGAGCAATGCGAGGCTGCCATCACCCAGTGGAGCGCCTCGAAGGACCCTCTATACTTTGCCGTCTTGTCCGGCCCCGCGTCCGAGCCGTCGTCCGAACCGGTGGGTATCATGTCATACTTGTCCATCGTACCTGTACACAGGCGCATTGAGATCGGCTGCATCATCTTCGCCGAGCAGCTCAAGCAGACTCGGGCCGCGACCGAAGCCCAGTACCTCTTGATGAGGCATGCCTTTGATGAGTTGGGCAACTTCCGGCTCGAGTGGAAGGCCAACCACCTCAACAAGCCAAGCTTGGCAGCTGCAGAGCGCCTTGGCTACGTATACGAGGGTATCTTTAGGTGAATATTGCTGCATCGAACGGGTAAAGGGCAACCGACTGACGCTGGGCAGGAAGCACATGGTCATCAAGGGCAGGCGTAGAGACACGGCCTGGTTCAGTATTACCGACGAGGAGTGGCCAGTGATCAAGGGTGGCCTGGAAGCCTGGTTGAGCGAGGGTAATTTTGACGAGAACGGCAAGCAGCGACAAACCCTGAAGCAGTGCAGAGAGTCATACAAGGGGAGGGACATACCTTGAAAGAGCGCCTTCTTGGCCAGACCGAATAGGGTTTCCTGAATCAAGGTGATGGGACGACTGATAGACTCCCCCCGCCAGCCTCGGCGAAACCACACGTTGTGAGAAGGCAATGCTGAATGAATCCAAGCGTTTAACATCTAACCAAGACTGGCTACACGAGTGAAAATCAAACAGACTGTATTACTGAAAGCGCAACCGAGAATATCAACCCAACGACAACCGACCAAGAAACAAGTCCAACCCACAAGCCGCATAACAATCTCATCGCGACGACATGTCCCTCTTGCGCAACTCGCAGAGTCGAAAGGAACAAGTTCCAAGCCGGGAGTACCGGCCTCGGGCTCAACCCCCAACCAACTTGGCACCCGTAACACATGCCTTTCTCTCTCTCTCTCTCTCTCTCCTATCAGCACGAGGCGCCCGAGTTGTCGGGGATGTTCTTGCACTTCTTGGACGTCTTGCCGCCGGAGACGTCGATGCCTGACCACGCCCAGTCGGCGCAGGCGCCCTCGGCGCAGAGGATGAGGACGTTGGTGCCCTTCTCGGCGACGGTGCCCGTGATGTTCGTGATGGTGACGCCGGTGATGGGGACGCCGTCCGTGGGCTTCCCCGAGGGCTTTTTGCCCGTCTTGTAGTCCTGCTGGACGACGATGCCCTGCTTCTTGACGTTCTTGAAGAGGATGTTCTGGAAGGTGACGCCGGCAATGGACCCCTGCTTCTTGTGCTCGCCCATGATGCGGATGCCGTTGACGCCCTTCTCGAGCACCGAGTCGCGGATCATGACGTCGGTCACGTTGTTGACGTCGCGGCCGCCGACGGAGCCGACGGAGAGCCCGTGCGAGCCGCGGCAGTAGCCGTCGCGGAAGAGGATGCGGGCGCCCGAGGTGATGGACAGGCAGTCGTCCTGGTTGTAGACGCGGGCGCGGACGATGGTTATGTCGGTGGACTCACCGACGTGGAAAGCGTCCGTGTTCTTGCCGCCGCCGCACTGGCCGTCGCGGTTGTCGAAGAGGATATCCCGGCTGCGAGGGGGGTCAGACGAGACACATCAGGGGGATGGGCAAAAGGGGGAGAGACTTACACCTCGAGGTTGCTGGCGCCGTTAATGTTGAACCCGCGAGCGGGGGTGTTGAGGACGTTGAGGCCGGAGACGGAGCCGTTGCTGATGCGGACGGTGAAGAAGCGCGGCTTGACGCTGCCCTTGCCCTTCTTCTTCTTGTTCATCTCGACGCCCTTGCCGTTCATCTTGACGCCCTTGCCGTCCCACCAGCGGTCCCCGTCGCAGTCGATGACGTGGCCGGGGGCGCCGACGACCGAGACGCCGTCGCCGCTGATGGAGACTAGCGGGCCCTCCCACTCCTTGTAGCCGAAGGTGGTGGTGCCGGCGAAGGTGACGCGCGTGCCGGGCTGCAGGCCGGTGAGGTCGAGCGTCCTGCCGCCGGGCACGGCGATGCCCTTGAGGAACATGTCGGTGCACGACGCCTTCTGGGCCTCGACGGACTCGTAGTCGGTGATGACGCAGGCGGCCGGGCCGGGACCGGCGCCGATGTCTCCTCCGGGCAGCTGCTGGTCCCCGCCGTCGGGGTCCGGCTGCCCGAAGGTGCCGTTGTTCGGCGGGGACGAGCCGAGGTCCGGGCAGGTGCAGTTCCCTTGGTTGGTGTCCGGCAGGGTGATGGGCATACTCGACACTTCAGCGGGCGCGCTGGTGACTTCAGAGACCGGGTCCGTGGCTCTGGTTGGTGGGTTCGTCGCGCTGGACGGCGCCGGGATCGTCAGGTTCTGCGCCGGGATCGTCGTGTTGGCTAGTTTCGGTATCATGTTCGGTCTCAGGTGGCCCGGGAAGATGGCGGCGGCGCCGAGGGCGCTGAGGCCCGAGGTCATGATGAGGAACTTCATCGTTGCGGATGGCTTGATGTTTCCGTAGTTTGTGTGTGTGATATATGTATATATGTGTGCGTGTATATAACACACGGAATGTGTCAAGTATGTATAAGAAGGGAGACCAGAGGAGAGACTAGAGGTCGGTGAAGGGGGAAAGGGACCCAAGTGGGTAGTAGAAAGTGCGCAAAGAAGACGGGCAGAACGTATGATGCGTATCACAGGATTTATAATAGCTCAACCCAACCCCCTTTCATAAATATGTGGTGGAGAGACCGTGATTCTTGGGTGCGTGGTGTTGTGCGGTTCCCATGCCCAACATGTGGCATCGTCGTCCTTCTTTTCCCTCCCCTTCGTCTTCCTGAGAAGGCGGGAATCAGCCCCATGATATTAAAAAAAAGGGACACATCTCGTCCAGCACTTGACCACCGGACCCTTGCCCTCGATTGCCGAAAAAAGAACATCTCCATCCCCTGGGGTGGAATCGTTGAGGCTTCGGGCGCCCTGTGAGTCAGCGTGCTAACATAAGGGTTGAGCGGGAATACCAGACGAAGCGTGGCAGCCAAGGCGCGCAGGGCTGTCATTCCAAGGCTCTCTGTCTCTCCCCTCCAAAGAGCCCGGCTTTAGCGACCTCTATTGAATAAAGTCGCCATGGCGCCGCTTTCCCCCCAAGCCCGTCGAGATGGCTCTTGGGGGGAGGGAAAGAAGAAGAAAAGGAGCCGGTGACCGTCGGCCAAGACGCGTGGTTAGAGGTGAAGAATTGCCCGAGTCGCGGTAGTCTCTTATTCCCAAGTCTGCATCTTGGCCACGTCTTGGCGTAGACCTGAAAGTTTGCCGTCCCATCCGATCTTGCACGGGGCTCTCTCTCTCTCTCCCTCTCTGAGCCTTACCAATTGTCGGCGACCAACCTATGTTGGCGCGAGGAAAACGAGAGTTCCCCGAGGACCTGCACACCGGACAGGGTTTGAACGGGCTTGCGCGCGGTTGTTTATCGCCATGGAGGTTGATGAGAAGACTGCGGCACGTAGCCAAGGCGGGTCGGTCCCTTCGAAAGGGTCGCATATAGGTACATACATATATATACACACCCACCCATCCACACACACCCACACACACACATGTTGATGAGAAGACCATCCTCTTCTAACCATGGCAACATCTTTGTGGTGTGTGTGTGTGTGTGTGTGTGTTGCGTCGACAATGTATCCATGCCGCATCCGCGGTCCGCACCGCCGAAGTCGTCTCAACTCGTCTTTTTCGTTTCGCAGGAAACAAACACCCTCCGCGCCGCCCCATCGGCTTCGCTTGGGATCCTGCGACGAACCTCGCGGGAGCCCCGGGACATGACCCCGGGGATGGCCATCGTCAACCTTAAAAGAGATTCATGTCTGCCTCGTGGAGTAGGAGCCTCTTCAATCTTGGCGGAAACGGGCTTACGCGTAACTCTGCCCTGTCGACGGGAAGCGAGGGGCCCCAAGGGGGGCAGAAGCTTGTCCGTTGTTCCTTGGGACTCTTTTCTCTCTGTTAGAGACTTGCAGACACCAACCCAACCCACCAGCTTGGCAAGTTCACAACGAAGGAGGGATGATGATGACGGCAGTGTATTGTGGCTACTCTGACGAGTCCTGCGGTTCCCGCTACCACCGAAAGCTGCTTGGTTCATGAAGCAGCTAGCCGCTGACTTTCATCCACTAGGCAAGTGTCCAAGAAGCCCACGATCGCACTTTTCGGAAGGACAGCGCGAAGTCATAACCGGCTTGTCAGCGCCCACACAGCCACGGTTAAATTCACACGCCGAGAAGGGAGGGGGAGGCCTACACGTGGAAGATGAACGCTCACAGAACTGCCGGTCTTGGGGGTGTGTGTGGGGGAGGGGCACCTGATTTCCGTCTCGGCATCACGCCAACAACTTCAAACAACGTTCAAATGACTTACTCGGTTTCGGCGTCCACTCTGGCAAATTAACCTCTCGTGTCCCCCCCCTCCTCCCTACCTTCTTCCTGCCGCCCGTACGCGAGGTTATCACGACGTCACCAAGCTACTACAAGTGGCTCCTGAGCTCGTCCTCGGTCCACTTCCACAACTGCTCCCTCTTCTCCTGGTCCTGGCTCAGCCTGGTCCCCTTGCCCGGGACGCCGACGGGGAAGTAGAAGACGCCGGCCTCGGCGTCCGGGTGAAACGACGCCCAGAGCTGGTTCAGCGCGCCCTTTTGCGCGCTCACGGCGACGGCCTTGACGCCGAGCCAGATGAGCGTGCCGAGCACCGCGTTGGTGCTGCTGAGGAGGGGCCCCGAGAGGTTGGTGTCGACGATGCCCGGGTGGACGCAGACGACCTTGACGTCCGGGGTCCGCTCGGCGAGCGCGGCGGCGTAGTGGACGTTGGCCACCTTGGAGATGCCGTAGCGGAACCGGGTCGCCGTCTCGGGCATCGTCGTCTTGAGCCGGCCGAACTGGTACGTGTCCTTCGGGGCCCACCCCTCGGCGGCGGAGGAGAGGAAGACGACGCGCACGTCCGGGTTCTTCTTCTCGGCCGCCGTCCTCTTGAGCGTCGGCAGGAGGAGCTGCGTGAGGAGGGCGTGGCCCATGTGGTTGGTGCCGAACTGGATCTCGTAGCCGTCCTCGGTGAGGCCCTCGGGCGTGTTCATGATGCCGGCGTTGTTGACGAGCAGGTCGAGGCGGTCCGAGGCGCCGGTGAACTGCTTCGCGGCGGCCTTGACGCTCTCGAACGACGCGAGGTCCAGCGGGAGGTGCGAGATGGGCGCGGCGTCGGGGTTCTCCTTCCTCAGGGCCTCGATGGCGGCCTCCCCTTTTTCCTTGCTGCGCGCCGCGAGGTAGATGTGCGCCGGGTTATGCTTGGCGATCTGGCGGACCGTCTCCAGCCCGAGGCCCGAGTTCCCGCCCGTGACGAGGATGACTTTGCCGGCGAGGTCCGGGATGTCGGTATCCGGCTGGAAGTTGCACCCGCCCATCATCAGTGCGGTCGCCATGGTGCGTGTGTCTACGGATTGCGGGATGTGCAGTTGAAGCTAAGCTATCACTGTTCACGCTGATATGGTAAAGCTGACTCCCATGGATCGTACGTTGGGCTCGAGGAGTCCGCGTGCCTGCGAGACGCAAGCACGCGTGTGTGAGAATTTATACCGGTTTTTGCTGGTATTAGAGTTTGGCGTTTCACCCTTGGTGTCCGTTCGCCCCAGAGCTCGAGCCGATGATGCCGGTTGATCTACATGTGTAGAGTTTCATGGTCCAGCCCCCCCCCGCTCCGACTGCCGTTCTGCAGCTTGTGGTTGGCGTTTGTTCCATCGTATAGATAGTTGCTCAGCTATGGAACAGCTCCGTCTTTCTTTCGAACAATCGTTGCAGGGGGACTACAACTCAGCGCCCCCTTACAATTTCCAAAGATACCCAGATCGGCACTAATATTCACCACCTCGATTTGTAGAGAAACTAACCCAACCCTCTGGAAACGGGGCGGGAACCCTTTCAATCCGGCGGGTCCTCAGTCGTACGGTACACGGCGTCTCCGAAATACCACCAAAGTGAACGGTGTAACCGAAGTTTCTCGCTCGCCTCTGTCGGGCTTGAACATGACGATACCCGGATCCAAATCAGAACAGTCACTCCCCTTTCTGTAATCCGCAATCCTTATATCTTCCCACCTTTAGACCCTTACTATCCTATCCACCTCTTGATCTAGACTTAGTATTGTAGTCCATCAGGCACGTCGCATTCTTCCATAAAGACGACGGGGCGAATATACTCCATATCATCATCTACAAGGCACCAGACCAGGTCTTCATCTCAGCGGCCGTCTCATTTCTTCTCAAGGTCAAGGTAGTAATACAACCAACCGCACTGCCTACACATACACAGGGTCAGGACCATCCTCACATACGTATAATGTCCAGCTTCCGCCCCCTTTCATCCTGGGGATGCTGTCCTAAGCCCTTCGTATAACCTCCCTTTCTTAGTATTCGCGTTCCCACCAAAGAACAGCCGCACTGATTGATGCTTGCATGCTCTCCATAAGACCGAGCCATCCAGGGGGTAAAGCCACCTGGCTCGAGTCTCGAAGAAGAAAAAGAACGGACAAGGAAAAAAAAAATACAAATAAAATAAGGCTTTTTTGTAAAAGTCTAACAAAGTAGCCGCAGCACCTTTTCACCCAAGGGGATGCGATGCGGCTGTCGTCTTGATGCAAATCGCACGCATTTCCACTCCGACGCCAGGCATATCTCGCGCGTCTAGCAGTGTTTCCATCCATCCATAATCCATATCGCTACAATCCGTGCGACCGTTTGTTTCAACTCATTTTTGGACGAGTCGCTGCTCGTTTTTATTACAGTTCGCTCAGCGTTCATCTAAAGGGAGACCGAGGCGGTCTTCCTCTTCCGTCGATGCATCATACTTGACCGTCGGCAACGGCAAGTCTCTGCTTCAGGGTCTTGGCCTTCTTGCCTCCGCCGGTGCGTCGCTTCTTGACTCCCTTTACTTCGGTTTCAGCGACAGGCGTGGCAGTGCCCGAGGTTCCGGCGGCGCCGGCGCGGTTGTCATCAAAGTTGCCCTCGCCTGTAAATCTCATTAGTGTCGTCCGGCCCATGGTTAGCTGACCGAAACTCACCCTCGTGGTACATCTCGTCGAGGCTGATGTCCTCGTTCACGGCCCGCTTACGCTTAGTGGCCTTCTTCTTCTGCGGCTTGTCGAGCTCGCCGCTCTCGAGAAGTTCCCTCTCGCGTTGCTCAATCAGCTCCGCCTGCTCGTCGTCCGCAAGCCACATGGCGATATCACGGTTGCGGTTCTCGGGAGCGCGGCGGCCAGAGAAGTCGACACTGGCACCGCCTCCTTGGATGACGACGCGCTGCACCTCTTCCTTCTGCATGGCACGCTTCCGAATGCGTTCCTCAATCGTACCCTTCGTGATGAGACGGTAAACGGTAACCTGCCTGGTCTGGCCCAGTCTGTGAGCTCGGTCCATGGCCTGCGAGTCGATCGTAGGGTTCCAGTCCGAGTCGTAGAAG